CTGCAGGGATGAATCACATTCATCCACTTGAAAATTAACCGCACCGAAAAATCATCATTCATTTTTCTGCTTGGAGCCGTGCCGAAGGAGAACTGGCTGGGTGGCTGGATGGGTGCTTGCTCTGGTGCGAGGGGCAGCGAAATGGTGCTGGTGAGAGGTTTGGCCGGAGCTGGCACTTGAAACCAGGGTGTTCGGGGATGAAATGCGCTGGCGGCTCCTCGGCTGCCACGGGGACTGCTAGCTCCTGGCAGGAGGAGGAGGAGGTCAGCCTTCAGCCCTGTGGGTCAGTGAAGGACCTAGCAAAATGAGGGGTTTGTGCTGCCTGGACCCCTCAATGAGGAGGAAAAATAACCCCAAGGAAATTTAATTTGAACTTGGTAAAAGTTTCCAGGTATTCGTACTAGGTTTTTTTTAATGGTGTGTTAAGGGCAGCATGCTTTTTTTAAAAAAAAAAAAAAAAAAAAGCTGTAAAATTAATTCATTTCCCTGTAATACTTCCTTTAAGAGATCTTCAGAAGGTCCCTAACTTAGCATACTGAGTTTCTCCTTGATAAGAGTTTCCTGGAACTTTCAGTTCTCCTTTTTCCTAAAATGCATTGCTTGGCGTGTCCCCCTCGGAGGGTGCAGGCTCCATCCCCAGCCCCTCTCCCCCCTGGTAGATCCAAGGGCTGATCCAAGGCTGATCCTGAGTCCCGTTCTCTGAAACCCTGTGGAGCAGCTCTGCTTGGGGGTTTAATTAATGACATTTTGAGATGCTGCTTTCCAGTGAACCCCAACAGGTTCCCTTGGACTGGGGTCCCACTTCAGCGGCAGCGCCAGGCGCAGCACCCGGTCCACAGGATGGGAAACCCCGAGGAGCGCTGGGCGCAGGTGTCATTTGGAGGTTCAAATGCATTTTCTGTAGACAAAGCACAGGCACGCCAGGGCTTCACACTGTGCCAGGGACTGCCAGCACGCTGCGGTACAGGGTATGTGTCAGAAACATAGTGGTTTTTTAGCAAAGTGCATCTCAGATACGCTTTTTTGCCATTAGGAGTAGCCTTCCCCATTTCTCCCTTGTTGCCCCATGAAAAGTGGTGCAGCAAAACGCTCTGCTCCTCTCCTACATGAGCTCATTCCTTGAAAATGAGTAAATGGGCAGCTGCAGAAGAGCTACGGCCTTTTCTTAAGCAGCAACCAGACGTCTTTTGTGTGTTCAGTCAGCTCCGCAAATCAAATGAAGAGTCCTCAAGCTGTTGAAGTTCCAGGACTGTCGAATTCCTTTAACTAGAATTATCATGTGGCTGTCGGTCCTTCCAACTCATTTGGCTTTCCTGGCTTATCCGATTTCCTCACCTCCCTGTTTTGAATGCAGATCCATTGGCAAGCTATTTTTTAAAAAAACTCAGCAAACTCCATCCTGATCCCAGCTGTGTGGCAGCTGCTGGAAAAGCAATTAAAAGTGGAAACTAAAAAAAAAAAAAAGAAAAAATTATTAAAAACAAAAGAGAAAAGAGAAACAAGGAAAAAAAAAAAATCTCGTTGGTTCTCAGATGCAGGATTCGCCTCTGCAGAGGAAGGAGTGCCTGCTGACTCAGGCTGTGAGTAAGATGGGGAGAAGGCGGTGAAGTTTTCCCTCCAGAGAAGCTCGGGCAGGGACGAGGTTGCTTTGCCACCGGTCAGGAGCTCACATTTGCCCCGTCTCAGGGCACCGCAGCTCTCCTGCTGCGCTTCTGCCCACAACTTGTAAGCCTGGTGGAAACCTGCTGTTACATTGCACACAACGTACGTCTTGTATTAAATACTGCAAAATGTTGTGTTAGTATCTGCAAGCTGTAGGCCACCTGGTTGTTGGTATTGCTCCCCGGTTCGGTCACTGCTCCAGAAGCGATGAGAGCATTTTCACCGCTGGGACCGGACTCTGACGTCAGGCTGGAGAGGGGCATGGCCATCGGGCTGGACGGCAGCGTTGAACCCTCTCCAGGACTGCAGGGAGATGAAGAGCCCAGACATCGCAGAGCTGAAGGAGACGAATTTCTAATGGAAAACACATTAGCAGGTAAGGAGTTTCATATTTCTCTTTTGTTAAGGGAAAAATTATACCTAGGGCATTTTCACGCAAGGGTTGTGTTTGGTGATCAATCTTTTCCCGTATTATTCTAATACATTGTTCTGCTGAATGGTAAGAGCTATACTTTCCAGCTCTGTTCTCTAACAAACATTAAACTTTGCATCAAGAGGTTTAAGAGGGAAAGGAGAAAAAATGTTCTGCTTTTCTGGATGGACTTTGATTCTCGCTGCTGATACACTTTGGCTCTAGGTGAGGAGCGCAGGTTGAGCACTGGGTCCTCCCAGCTAATGATGCCTCCCTTCGCTCCCCCTTCTCCAGCCTCGCTATCGCCAAGAAAGGCATCTAAAAACGCAAACCCCCAAATTTCACTTCTCTGTATGAATTAAAAAGTGTTGAACTTTGATACAGGGCAGGCTGAGAGCTGTTTTTCTTGAGTTGAGAGTAGGTAAAAAAACCTGTTTGAAAAACTGTATGTTAAGGAGTAGGGTCGGTACAAATCTGTCTTGTATTTATCAGGAGTTGAAGACAGGGCTGCGTGGGGGCCAGAGGCAGTTTTTTGCGTTTGCAATAACTGGCAAACAGGAGGGTATGGAGAGAACCCCGTCACCTCTGCACTCCCCACGCGCAGGGATTAACCGCTGGCTCTCGGAAAGCCGGCGGCTCCGCTGGGAAGCCCCAGCTGCAGCGCACGATGCTTTCTTCATAGCCAGCACCGAGAAGTTCCTGCCAGTACTCCTGAAGAGTAACTTGCTTGTAGGAGTTAGTCACAATATGCTCTGTTAAGTTTTTATTAGAGGGGGAAAAAAAAAAAGCCTGAGGAGGTGCCAAATAGGAAATCCCTGGGATGGTAAATAAATGCGGTGGTTATATGGGACATGCCTTCCTGGGACAACCTGTGGTGTAGCAGAACTCGACACAGCATCCCAGTAAAAATCACTGCAATGCCTGGGGAGTGTATTCCTGGAGAGCAAGAAGTTTGGGTGCATTTACTGAGCCCTCGGGAGGGAAATGCTTCCAGAGACATCCAGTTTCACAAGTGATGCTCTTAACTGGTTTAAAGCTTCTCAACTGTTGCCTCCAAATAACTTTCTGATGTTTGTTTTTGTCTTCTGAATCTGAAGTTTTGAATCTCGGGTCTTGTAGAGGCATCTCTCCTGCTTACATTTTGTGTCTTTTGATATCTATTTGGAAGTTAAGTTCTTCCTGGTGAAGTTCGTGCAGCATTTGTAGGCAGCATCGCTTGTTTGAATTTCTGGCTTCGTGTTTCAGCTTTCAGCGGTATTTGCTTCTTGCTCCACAGGCAAAAATAAGATTAAAACTGGTAAAAATTTAGTTGGAATTTTCTAAAAAGTTTTAGATTTGCTCCATCTGGTTTTTTTAATGAAGTGTTTGTTAAATCTGTAGAGATTCAGTGCAGTTTTTGCAAGACCATCGTGTTTTCCGTGTTATCCAAATACTTCAGTGTGAGCCTTTGTTTACTGCCCCAACACCCCGGGCTGGGCTGCTGCTTTCAGTTCGCAACAGCTGAAATCCAGATCCGTGCAAAAAAAGTAACATTTCCTAGAAATCGCCTCCTAATTGCCTTTAACCTTCGTTGTGGGCTGCGTTGGGGAAGCACGGGAGAAAGCTCCAGGCAGGGACAGCAGAGCGCCGGGAAGACAAGCCTTGTGCTAACAGTCAGAGGGTAAACAGGGATTCTGGATCCATCGCCCTTGGAGTACACAAATATTTAATTCTTCCAAAAACAAACAATGAAGGGAACAGAGTAGTAGAACCGTTTATTAACTCCAGCTGCCCAGTTCACGAAATCAGGAAATGATGTCCAAGGGGAAAAGAGCACTATGCATTTGAGGTTGCTTTGATTTTTAGTTTCAGCCATTTTAAAGGATTAAAAATACAAAAACATGTTCTGAGGTTCTCTCCCCTGCTCTCCTTTTGGGAAGGTCATGAAACCAGTCACTCTGAAATTGCTGTTGTTCTTGCACGGGATATTTGCTGCTTGGCCACATGATCAAAGTTGGAGCTGAAATAAATATTCCCCGTAAAAATATCCCCCAATAAATACTTCTTGCTTAGTATTTAGGAGGATATAAAGAAACATATTGGTGTTTTATAGCTGCCCAGCTCTAGCTATACTAGAGTTATAATTCATTATATTAGCATTTGGGTGAAAACAGAACAAATTGGTCTCTTACCAGCCTGCTTAAGGGAGACAGTGCCAGCATCAGTTTTAGGCTACTTTTAGCATCTACCTAGTGTCTCTAACGTGGCCTCCTAGGTGGCAGCTGCCTTCCCCCTGTAGATGATGTGGGGAGATGGCATGTGTGTAACGGGAACGTTTTAGGGTCTAGTTACTGTATTTAGAAGAGATGAGCAGCAGCTTGCCAACAAACCCAATGTCTAAGGCAAGGCATAAATTCACTGCAAGAAATGCAGAATCTGAGGCTGAGCTCATCTGTGCAGCGTAAACCAGAGCTGCTGGACTTGATGGTGCTGCTGCAGATCATGTATTAAGTATTTTGAATAACTGCATAAAAAAAGAAAATTAAAATGTATGTCTTCTTTCTTCTATATGCCATTTAATCTCCTCACATTTTTAGTACAGGACAGACGGGCTTTTCTGTTGTTAATTTTACATAGATGAGGAATCAAACTATAGCCAGTTGAATGCCTCATTCTACAAAGCCTCTTTGGGATGAAGAAGGGTGAATCTGTGCACGTGGAAGAGGCAGCTGAGCCCAACCCCGCTCTCTGTTTCCTTACGTGACCTTGGACTATTTCCTTTGAACTTACCCTTCGTTGTCCAAACTGTAAAATGGAGAGAAGTTCTTAACCTTTGGCATGTTATTGGCTTACTCTGAAGCGGTGTTTACCCAGACAAATATAGTAACTTCCAGTGATCTGTTTTATTCTAAATAATACTGTTTTCTTTCTCATTCTAGCTGGGAAAATGCAGGGGATATTCAAGAGAGCCTCAAAAATATTTCAGCAAACTCGTGCTCTCCTATGGAAAAATATTCTTCTGGTGTGGAGGATGAAGACAGAAAGTTTTCAGGCAAGTATCAGTTCTTCCAAAGGGAAGTTAGGATTTCCATTACAAAGTACTTTTGCTTCGCATTGTTGTTATGCTAGGTGATATGTGAGAAGCCTCAGCTGGTAATGTGGTTCTCTGGAAAACGTCGGCAGTTGCCCCTCTTCCTGTAACGTTACAATATCACGGCATAATAAGGGCTTGTTACAAAGCTGGCTTGTTGTTTTTGATTGTTGATCCCATTTCTGCACTGTCCAAAGGAACACAATGTCCAATTCATGATTACGGGTACAAAATTATCAGCAGACCTCGCTGGCTCTGGTACTAAGAAAACATGTTTTTCACTTGGAACATTCCTCATGTTTTAAAATTATGACACCTGTGAAACAGCTTTTGCTCATTTACAGAAGGAAGGCATTCACGGCGGGAGGAGCTGGACCGAGCAGCCAGATCAGCGCTGGATGAGAAGGGTCCTTGAAGACACTTTCCATAACACCCAACCTCCCAGTCACTGGGCTGCCACTCACCTTTACCTTTCCTTTCTTTCATCTAGGAATGGATTACATGGGTGGTTTTTCTCTTAATAATACAAACATCATCAAGTATGATATTCCACCACCCGTGGAGAGAAATCCCTTACAACTTCCTCGGACGATTAGATGATCCAGCCTTTAACGCTACGGGAGTTACACTGGCATACACACCTGTAACAAACGCCACCAGGCAAATAATGAGCAAAGTGGCTTCGGATTCTGCAATGACGGGTAACGCCACTCTTAAATCCTTGATATAGCTGCATTGTCTGAACTGACCCTGCCTCCGTCCTCATTGCGGTGGGAGGAGAAAAGCTTTTGGACAACACAAATTTTGAGCAGCTGATGCCCATTTTCATGTTGTTGTGTGGTGGTTTTATTATTTTTTTTTGTTTCTCTTTTCTTTTTTTTTTAATAACAGGTATAATAATAGAAGAGATGGAAAATGAGAACAAAATGGAAACAAGAGGAGTTTTGGAAGAGGAGATTATTGGTGTTGTTTTTAAGGATGACTTCTCCTACCATCTCAGATTTCAAAGACACAGAGTGGTGTCTCCAAATGATGCCTTTGACTACATCGGTAACAAAAGAAATGAAATCACAGAACTTGATTTTACATTAAAAAATGCTTAGATGGATCTCTGTGCTGCCGTGCCACTCAGAAGGGATTGAGGCTCTATCTGCTAAATGCTTTAAGCAAGATATTAAATAGAACTTGAGGTTTTGTTTACTTAGAAGTTTACTTGATGCCACATCAGGTGGCCCATGGAGGCAAAGCCGTGAACTCCCAATGCCACACTATTCTTGGAGAAAAATGGCTGCTCCGGGAAAAAGGCTGAGTAAAACTAAATCTTGATTTCCTGGCTCGTAGCTCAAATACGTTTTCCAACCCCACATATTATACATAAGCATTTATGTACACATATATATGGAAATACATAGATAAAATTCTTCCTTTTTTTGTTTCTTTCCCACAGATACCTGCTTCAATTTTTCGTCAAGTGAGTGCAAAGTTCCTTTGTACTGGTATGATGGTTTCCTATCAGTGCAGTCCAGCATTGATGCAGCACTGATAGAAGTAAGTGTGATCATGAAGGAAAATATGTTTTCTGTTCTTTCCAGAATTATCTGTAAACTTAAAAAACCAACAATCCAAAAAAAAAACCCCAAAAACCAACAATCCAAAAAAAAAAAAGCAGCAAGTCCACCAAACCAGTTCATTTTCTGTGATTATTAACTTTTTAAATACATAGTGTGATTCAAAAGTTAAAAGAATGATAGATAATTCTCATGGCTCCAGGCAGCGTTACTGTTTATTACAAGGCAGCACAAAAAGATACTAAATATTGAGGTTATTTGCCGCTTATAAATCTATCATTGTTATTGACAAACTAGTAATTTAAATGCTTATGAAAACCTGTTTGTTCTGATGTTGGCTGTTTCATTACAGAAAATCAAATTAATGCCTAATTTCTTTTCTTTAGATGAAAACAAACCATTCTGTCTGGGAAGAGATGAAGTCAATTAGCGGCGTTCGTCTGAAATCTCCCTTAATCAAAGCTGTGCGCAGACTGGATTACATTTGGTTCATTATTTACGTTATATTCTGCTTCTCCCCATATATGTACTTTTTATCAGTGAAAGTTGTGAGAGAGAAAAAGAAGCTCAAGGTATTAATGAGAGCAATGGGTTTGCAGGATATCGCATTCTGGTAAGTCTCATAAACTGTTTAATTACAGGAATTACATTACCTTACGTGTATAAGATGTATACTAGTTTGCAGGATGGATGTGGGTCTGGTCCCACCACTCAGCTGAGGAGCAGTAATTGCCCAGACCCCCGCAGCAGTCATTTGCGATTGCCCAACCGTACGTCTGGGCGCTGAGTGTTGTTGAAGCAAAACCTTTGCTGCTTTTAGCTGTAATGTACCGTTTGCCGGGGAACCTCCGTTTCCAAGCGCATTGCTCTGATACGGGAATTTTTTTGTTGTATGTTACACTTAGCTCTGCTCTCCTCCCCCAAAAAAGAGAAAGGGCACTCTTCATGTAGCAGAGACGCCTGCAGTGAGGGTCTTGGTGTTGAAGGGTTACTTGCCTCCAGGAAAGGGGTGGATACACACAGAAAACACAAAACGTGAAGAAACAATGAGGGTCTTGGTGTTGAAGGGTTACTTGCCTCCAGGAAAGGGGTGGATACACACAGAGAACACAAAACATGAAGAAACAACGAATTTTGGAGAAAACTGCAAATGATGAAGGACAGGAGGGGCATAGGGTCTATCAAAACAGACTTCCAAGGCCTTCCAAGCATGAGTTATTTCACATCATTAGGAAAAAGCATAAGAATAAGTGATGGTGGCTGCAGAGCCTCTGCTTGGATGCGCTGTGGCTCTTTGCTGGCATCGTTGCATCTGCAGAGATGTGAGTAGGTGCAAGACATGCATGTTGACACTGTTCCAGTCTGGAAGCTGTGAATGGAAGTGTATTTGGAATTATGAAGTATTTGAATTAAAAAGAGTGTGTCTTGTATTGGCTATGTCATGGAAAGTGCTGTCATGTACAGAGGCAAAAATAACTGTGCCTTCATTTGTAGGTTATCCTGGAGCTTGCTGTACACCATTTACATTTCAATAACGGCAAGTCTGCTGACACTGATCACGATTAGAGGAGTCACCCCTGATTGCAACTTTTTTGAAATATTTTTTTTTTATTTCTTTTATGGCATAGCATCTGTAAGTCTGCTTTTGTGTTCTTAAATAATGCAATTATTTTTTTTCCATTTCCTAATTAAAACATCTGAAACTCAAAGACTACAGAGTACTCTAGGGCTGGGCATTATATGAGAAAGTAACACAAACTTCTTCACTACTGGGATTTATTGTTAGAATTTGTAGGCTAACATATCACTCCTCTTACATTTCGGGAGATTCTGACTTGAAATCAGAGTGAAGATAAGCGCTAACACCAGCATTAATGGGAAGGCTGGGGCGGCCTCCTTGCATCCAGCCTCCTTGGGAGGCCAAGAGGGATCTGATCTGTCTGCTCCCATAGACCTGCCCTAAATATCAGAGCTGTCTGCTAAATGATGCAAGCCTTGTGATGTGCCATGTGCATCTGCAGGGGACAACTGAAACTGAACTGAGACTCTAATTTTGCTCGTCGGATTTTCATGTTGGTTTTTTTAATCGCCAGCGGAAACGCATCCTGCTAACTACTGGTTTTCTCTGCTGCAGATTCACTTCTGTTTCATGCTGTGCTCATTGTTAAAGCAGCCAGATATTGCCAGTTTCGTGGGATTTGTCCTTCACATCATCTTTGGATTGCTGGGCCTGTTGACGTTGTTTGAAAAACTACCACCGTCTTCAGAATGGATTTTTAATCTCTTCAGTCCTTTTGTCTGTACAGCTGGCATCTCAAAGGTATGTTGAAAATAAAGCCAGAACATCATAAAAGTTCAGCCCACAGCAAAAGTGCTGCAGACTCTGCCAGGTAACGGTAGCTGCCGTGTATGATTTGCATTGCCATAACGACCCAATGGCACCCCTCTGCCCTAGATGCTTTGTAAAAAGAAAACTTCACTTCAAAAAGTGCATACTGATTCATAACAAATATAGTTGGACTATCAACTGCATCGCAAATTTTACCAGCTCTGTATATACAATAAATTTCAATCTCTGGAAAATTGTCACAGCAATGGGATGTGTCTGGTGGGTACCAAGATCTGCAAGAACCGTGAGGTCTTGAAGTGCTGCCTTAGCAAATACCATGTGCATCACTCTTCTGGTGTAGTAACTTCTTCTGCACAATTTTGAATTCAGCCTACTGAAGCACTTCTGATACTTGTGGTCATAATAAAGTGTTGCCCTGCTTAGAAACAGAGTTGTGATCATAAGCAGGCGTGAGTTTCTGACGAAAATGGTCATGATGATACAGCAATGGCTTGCATGTAGTATTTCTTGCTAAAGGAAGTGCTGCATCTGACTTGTGCTTTTTTTCCCCTAGATGGTAAAATTAGAAAAATATGGACCAGCCTTTCCACCAGAATTGTACCCTTTCTTTAACCTATACATCATACTGAACCTCGACAGCGTTTTGTATTTGCTGTTGGCCATCTACTTTGATAAGGTTTTGCCTGGTAAGTAGAAATGTGAGGGAAAGAATACAAATTTCCTTGTGTTCTTCTTTTAGAATCTTCTCCCCTCGGGAGGAAGGTTGCCAAAGGGGCAGTGGGATAGAACTGAGAAAAACGTAATCTACATGTACATGGAGCAACAAAAAAGGTGTCCCAGTAGCAAACTGGTCAGGTTGTGGAAGGGCATCTTAACAGCAATGAGTGTCGGGAGATGAAAACTGGCTTTGCTGTATTGCTCAGTGTCCTGGTTTGAAAAAAATGGTTGGGAAGAATCCTGTTTTCCCAGAAGCTGGGCGCATGTAGATACCTCATTTGTCCCTGCCTCAAAAACAGGCTGCAAAAGGAACGTTAAACCCTGCAGTGAGGCACTGAGATCCTACTCCAACAGCCCTAACCACTGGGTTTAAAAGGATGTTTTAGGACTTGACCTGATTTTCCTGTACCTTCTGGACCAAAGAAGTTACCAATGAGGTCTTTGCTGTGATTGCTCCCCACCTGCATTTGCAGATATGGACAAGTGGACAACTTTAATTGCAAAACGTACCAATCCTTTTACGCTGCTGGAAGTCTATATTCTGCAGCTATAGAGGAAGAGATGGCTGGGCATGGCATTTATCAAAGTTGACTTGACAGATGGCAAGTTTTGATGTTTCACCTTCTCTGTTTCTGAATTAGGCAAGTACGGAGTACCGTATCCCCCTTTGTTCTTCCTGAGACGGTCATACTGGTGCAAGCCCAGGAGCGGGTACGTGGGAGTGCAAACTGGCAGCAAGAGCAACCACCATCCTAACCTTAGCGATAATAACACTGAGCCGATGCCTTCAGGCTTTGATGGGAAGGAAGCAATCAGGTAAAGACTCCTTTAGGCATGAAAAATATGATGCTACAAGTTATATTTAACTCTGAAGAGCATAGCCATGTTGCACTGGTAAATGTTAGACTGAGTGCTCTAACGTACACAGATAAGGTTACTGGCAAACATGTGAAAGGGTGGGTTTGTTCAGTGCCTTACTCCGCTCCAGAGCTGGATTTGAACGTTTGTTGGACATGGTGCATCCTCTGTGCCAGGGACCGACTTGGTGCCCCGCATTTTCCTCTTTGCAGACCAGCAGCAGTGAGTCTGTTCCCCTTCACCATCGTCTTTAAGAACACTGCTGATGGAGTGTGCTGCATAAGATACTGTTATTTACATCCTTTCGGCGCTAGTTTGGCCCCTTCCTGTTGCTGCCCATTGCTCATTACTAGAAACCAAATATAAATCTGCTAAAATAATGCCTAGGTCTTCACTTTTGATGATATAACCACATGTTATCTCATTCCCTAAGGCTTCCTGCTTCCTTCACTGAGTGTTCGTTGAGTTTGACTTTGAAACTTTTTAAACATCTTTTAGAAAAGTACATTGGCTGATTCTGCTTTTAAGTGTACAAGAAGTGAATTACATAAAGCAATTCCTTCAGATGGTAACGAGCAGGAGTGATTAGATGAGGCGGTTGAGAAATATTCTTCCAATAGTTTTCAAAGGTTATTTCGAGGCAGAGGAAACATGCCAAAATTGTGAGATTCAATAGTAATACTTGCTTACCTTTCCTTTAGACTAAACAATATTAAAAAAATATACAAGAAGAAGGACAAGAGAAATGAAGCTTTAAGGGGTAAGAGAGGTTTTGTAAATTCTTTTAATTTCATTTTTCACTAGGTATGAACCCAAACGGTTTTGAAACATACTGGATGTACTTGATTCTGCCTCCAGCACTGTTAAAATACATTACGCAATGGTTATTTCCGCTGGGGTGAATTACTGGCAAATTTCTACCAGGTTTTTATCTTCCTGTTCACTCCAGGAAAATTACTATTTATTATTTTTTGCAACAGCAGAAGTCTCCTCAAAAGCTGTGGGGTTTGTAGCAATGAACCACTCTAAAAATCCCCTCTCAAACCTGCCTTTCAAAATGTAAACTATTTTGGGCAAATAAAAATTGGGTTTTTTGTATCACTGGCTAAGCAGTGTTCTCCAAGCACTTCCACATCTGCCCACTGCAGGTATGCCGTAGTTGGCACAGCCGTAGCACGGTCTTGGGATATTTGTTAAATGCCTTTATTTAACAAGAATTCCAAGTGACGGTGAAAATATCAATATGGTCTCAAAGGTTTATATTGAGTAAAAACCACCCAACCCAAACCACCCACAAAAATACACAATAAGTATCTTTTTTTTTTTCTTTCTTTTTTTTAAAGAAAAGGAAATGAGGTAATAAAGTCTAGCTGCTTTGAAATAACTCTTAAAATCTCACGTCTTGGAAAGGCTGTGGGCTCTTCTCTTTCTGAAAAATCTCTCTTGAGCCATGTTAAAATGAAAGTTTATAAACCTCATAGAAAACAGAAATCAAAATTCTTTAGATATTGAAGTTCTTGTTCCCTCAGTTCAATCAAGACATGACTGCAAGTTCCTTACTAAATTTAGCCCTAACTTCTGAAGATGCAACCCATGTTTTTGGATCTGTGTTTTTGCCCCTCAGCTTCAAAAGAAATGTCACTCCTTTGTCATACTTGGCAGCAAGCTACAGGTACCAGTCATCTTCTCACAAACTTCCATCCTAATGTTATCCTGTTTGTGTTCTAGGTTTGTCTTTAAATATATATGAAGGCCAGATCACTGCATTACTTGGTCGCAGTGGATCTGGAAAAACTGCTCTTTTAAATGTGCTCAGTGGATTTTCCAAGCCTTCAGCAGGTAAGATGATGGACCTGAATGCTGAAGAGAAGCTGTTTGTTTTTTTCAAGTGTAAGGAGGTAAAGATACAAAACCCCCAAGTTTTGTCTCAGTCATTCAGTCTGGCTTGCTGTCAGTGCAGATTGTTCCTTCAACACGAGCTTCGGGGCTAATGCATCCCTTATGGATACACTCATGTGTGCAAGCATGCACAGATGGTTATTTCTCCATCTGGATGGCCTGATGTTTTCCATGAGCTGCATACCTATAGGAAATATGTTTTAGTTCTTAAGGGAAAGATTTGGTGCTCTGAAATATTTTTGAGTGGTATTAAAGCTTTGGACAATGCCAAGGGGTTTTGCCTTTTATCTGTAAACGCTTGAGAAACATCCGCAATGCTGGAATTAATGTCAAAGATATGTACACAAAGTAGTCTGCTTTCCTCTTATAAATGGGAAATACTGTCCAGTATGACATTTGTTTCATTCATTCATGTGTGCAGGTTCTGCAATGATATACGACTACAAAGTTTCTGAAGTACAGGATATGGAAGGAATTCAGGCAATGGTTGGGATTTGTCCCCAGTTTAATTTGCATTTTGAAGCCTTAACGGTGAAGGAAAACCTGAGAACTTTTGCTCACATCAAGGGGATTGAGCGGAAGGAAGTAGAGCAAGAGGTTGGTATGTGCTTGTCAGTCACTGACCTCTGTTTTATGGTGTCTTGGACAGTTTGAGCTTTCTTTAAAAAAGATTATCACCAGCATCTTGTTCTGTGGAAATTAGAACAGCCCTAATTTAGGGGAGAAGTGTTTTTTCAGTTCTTTCTTACCCTCATGTCATAAGAGTTAGAATTCAGATTTGCAGTATTTATCTCTAAGCAAAGCCACTTAAAGTAGATAAGTTTTAAATCTTGAAGCTATACTCTCCTGTACAGTGTGTAGCCATTTATGAATTAAAACATGACCAGTGCTTTGGAAATCTGGGTTTTGTCTTTGTATATTGCATAGGTGCAGAAAGTTCTCACGATGTTGGACCTCACTGACCTTCAGGACGTTCACGCCAATACACTGAGTGGGGGACAAAAAAGAAAATTGTCTCTTGGAATTGCAATTTTAGGGAATCCCCAGGTAGGGACCATTCATATTTCCACACACCCAATGCGTACTGTTGTAGCATGTAACTTTGCATTTTGACTTGGCACACAAACCTTTGTACTTTTCCCCTGGCTCTCCAAGCCTGTTGACCTACTAATTCACTTGGCTGCTGGAAGGATTGAGGAATCCAGGTCAATGAGAACTGTATTTTAAATTAAAAGGGTAATAATATTGTAATAACAGAAAGAGTAATAAAAATGGCTTATACTTGAGCATGCATTTTATTCTTAGAGTGAAATAATCAAAAGCATGAAATCGAATGATGTAAGATCAGAAATGCCGTCTTGGACACGTGGGGGTCTAATCTTGTTTGCCTTTGCAGGTGTTGCTTTTAGACGAGCCAACGGCTGGGTTGGATCCCTGCTCCAGGCACCATGTGTGGAGCCTTCTGAAGGAACGCCAGGCTGGACGTGTGACGCTTTTCACGACCCAGTCCATGGAGGAGGCCGATGCTCATGCTGGTGAGCCCAGATTTTCACAGTGCGGTTGACTATGGTTTGAAAACACGTATGGGTCCTGCTGTGATGCAGTCTGTGCTTGCTGGACACATTTTATCTGACAGCAGCCACCCAACCCAGCCTGAGCAAAGGCTAAAACTGGACTGATATGTCCCTCCAAGACCTTGCTTGTGCTCTGCTTCAGGATGAAGTAGTTGCGTATTATCTGGATATACCACTAGCATCACCCACACAAATTAGTGATATAGTTTGAATTTTAATATCTTTCCTATTTCCTTATTGCTCCTGGGCTGCATGGGAAATTTTCCACAAGCCTGTAAGAATGCATACTTAAAAGATTAACCTTGATGCTTAGGAGAAAGGCAGCAGTTTAAAAAGAAAAAAACCCTCATCCCTGGCCTGGTTTTACTCCTCTTGACTTCATTACAGAAATATGTGTTGAGTTCAGACGGAGCAGAGTGAGGCCAGTCTACTGCACTGTTGTAAATCCTCCCTAAATCCTTTGTATTGATACCTCCTTAGATCGGAAAGCTTTCCTCTCAAATGGGACATTACAGTGTGTTGGCTCGTCTTTGTACTTGAAGAGAAAATGGGGAATTGGCTATCGCTTAAGGTAAATCCTTTTCTTTTTGGTCATCACACTTTTTATGAAAAACTTCTACTTGATGTGAGTATTTTCTTGTAAAGTCTATAGAGTTTCTATGTAGAGTGATAGAAATCTTGACAATTCGTTTCAGAAGACTTCGAGGCTGCCAAAAATGTCTTGCTTTGGATAGCAAGCTGCTTTTCTTTGGAACCCAATCCTGAAAGCTCTGAGGATGTAGCTATAATGACTTTGCAACCTCCTTTGCAGCCAAAAGGGGACCAGAGTAAGCTGAATTGCAATTTCCACATATTCTGTGGTGCCAGAGTGATGTACAATGGCTTTAATGTGAAGTTGTTTTTCTTTGGATTTTAATTTATGTTTTCTGGGTTTAGCAGTGCTGACCAGAATCACTCTTCTTAACCTCAGCTATTTCTTGCATGCATGGCAACATCAGGGGCACTGCAGACACCTATAAAAATTCCCAGAGAAATGCTGCCCAGTTTCGGAGGTTTCCCTATGACTTGAAGAACGACCGCTGGCTTTGTATTTTAAATGGATGACGCATCCATTTTTTTTTCTCATTTAGTATTATAGCAATTGCTTTTTAATACAAACAGGTTGCGCATAAATGACCTGTGTGACCCTGAGCTTACATCATCCCTGATCCGACAGTACATCCCTGATGCCACACTCAAAGGGCAGAAGGAGGGTGAGCTGTGTTATATGCTGCCTCTGGAAAACACTGATAGCTTCCCAGGTAAGAAAAGCATGTTGTTATGCCAGGGTTGTAAAGGGAAACCAAGTGGTGGGAAAAGCAGAAAGCAAAGTTGCTGTGAAGGGAATAACTATATTCCCTGGTCCATACTGCATGGGATTAGGAAGCCGAGAGCTGCGTAAACATCAGCCTTAAAGAAAGCCTCTAATGGACATGCTGATGTTAATAATGCAGATGAACAGAAGAAAATCCACCAACTAATCTACAAACTAAAATTCACTGAGTCTGCTCTGGTTTCAGGATGAGATTTCTCCCACCAGGAAGGCCCATGGTAATCAAGAACTCTGAATTTTCTACGACTTACCTCTAAAGAGCACAATAATTTTGCCATGGCTTTTAAGTTATGGAGATTAATGACATGAATGCTAGAACATACGACGTTAATCATGCCAGTCTGAGTTTCTGCTCAACACTAGCCTTGGTTGCTGGGCTAAGTCTGGTTGTTTCTATTGTGCAGATCTGTTCAGCCATCTCGAGAGCAGTCTCTTGCAGGGGGTTGTTAATTATGAGGTTAGCAGGACAACCCTGGAAGATGTTTTTCTGAAGCTGGAGGGTGAGGAAGCCATCGATCAAGAAGGTGAAACTTCGACTCCAATTTGCAAGTGTGGTATGATTGAGGCTCCCTATATACATATGTATTAATTGAATATCTAATGAGATTCTGTTACATGTGAATTTTTGTAGTTTTTGGTACGTCAAGAGTTGCAGTTGTATTCAACTTTCCTACAGTGAAGAATATCTTCTTGGAGAAGTCTAGATGTTTCAGTCTTGACTTCCCTCAGGCTTTTAAGCACAAGAATTGAAGGCTGATCTTGGAAGGGTATTTGCCTTTGAAGGGTATACTGCCCAGACTGGGAGGTGGGAAGAGATCAACTAGACAGAAGGCATTTCACAAGGCCAGCGAGGATATTGGATATGTTGCCATATGAGCCCAGGTTCAGCCAGTCTGAATTCACCAATGTAAATTATGTTTTGGATAAATTATGGCCCCTTTTCTCTGCCCTTGCTTCTCTTCTGGCTAAAAAAAAATAGAAGCATCCCCCTATTCAGAACAGAAGATCCTTATTGATTGTTTGTGATTAAAACGTGTCCTTTGAACAGTCTTTGTGGATAATGCTATTTCTCATGATGAACATGCAGAAGACGGAGACCTCGAGGAGAGGGCCCAAAGCCTCCTGGTGTTTTCCGAACAGGGGAGCGCGGCAGTGAGCGGGATGGAGCTCTGGAGGCAGCAAGTGTGTGCCGCAATGAGAGTTCGCTTCTTAAAACTAAAGCACGAAGGAAAGTTGCTCGGGTCCACGTAAGTACAGAAGCTCTCACCTACTCTGCAGCCCTCATGCTGGCTTGGTGCTTTTCAAAGGATTTGATCACTCCCTTGAGTGACTGAAGGAAGGCTTAAATACTGGTGGAGATGTTTGGAAGCAAAGAATTAGGTGGAAAATATTTAAAAGTGGTGGTAATAAGGACAGTTGGAACTTACCGGTAGAGCTCTGAATTGCTTAAGTTTTAGATTTCCCCTTGTCTTTCTCAACATAAATCACACAATTAGTTAAAGGTGGAGTTCCCCTGGAACCACTTACGGTCTGTTTTTCCATCTAGATTGCTGTTCTTTGTAATATTTGTCCTTCCAATGCTGACGATTTTCACTGTATTTCAACTGTGGGAGAGCTCCAGTAGCTGGGAAGTCACGGCTAGCTTGTATTTTCTTCCCACTGAAGAAAAAATTCAAAATAAGTCGACAAACCTTCTGATCTTCAATGATACAGGTGAAGAAGAACATGTGATGTTGCTTCGCTTTCTGCACTGCTCTGAGTCCTCTTAGAGTTGACAGGCCAACATTGCCTTGCTCTTTCTGTACACTCCTTTATATATTTGTGGCTTTGGGAGGTGTTTTCTTTTAGGCAAAAGCAAATTCAGTTTTAGTGATGATAACTGAGGAGCTGATATTTAAGAGTAAAGAACCAGGAGAATTTAAAAAAAAAAAGCAATAAACTAAGTATGGAAATGTACATCGTGTTTAACCACCTTCATTAAAATAGGAAAAAATAGAGAAAATATGTTTGCTTAGATTCTGAATTAGTTTTTTTTAATATACCTTTGCTTTGCGAGTGGGAACTTGCCTATACGAAACTGTTTATATTTAAAGAAAAAAACCTCTGATTACTCTAATTTCTGTTCTTGACTTGATTTCAGGATCAGAAATTGAGGATTTCATTGCTGCTTTGAAGACTCAAAACATAATCCCAGAAATAACTCTTGAGAAAGACATCACAAGCATTCCGCTATATAATGGGGCTATAAAAATAGCCCTGGAAGGCAAGGTGAGAGATATTTTTCCTTCTTTCATCCTGTACGTCAACAGGATTTTCTAAAATGTGTTTAAATGAGGCACAGCAAAATACACACACCAGCAGAAGGCAGAATATTTGTTTGACGTATTAAATAACATCAGTAGTCCTGTTTGTTGGGAAACCAGGATTATATTTGGTTCTTTCCACTGTATGCTTCTTTACAGTGATCTTTAGGGAAAAGCATTAATGCAAGTCTTTTGTGCTTTTCTCCAGAAATTGTTGTCTTTATCGATCATTTCGCTCGTGGTACCTGTTAGCACACTTCCCGGTCTCTGCGGTCCCACCAATAAAACTGTCTGATTGCCTTTGTCACTGCTTTTCTCTAAACCCCTCGCTGCGGTCAGCTCCTCCTCACAGCTCTCACGGACATGAAGGTAACGTCCTTTTTGCTCTTACGTCTTCAGAGCTACCGATTCACGGTCATGTGCAGTGCAGAACTCGTCAACTGTTTCCCCGTGCTCATGAACATCCTCAGCAACACCTTCCTAAGGCTCTTCAACTCCACCGCGCACATCCGCGTCTGGAGTGATCCCTTTTACTCTGTGAGTGTCCTGCCCTTCTTGGTGAAAATTCATTGATATAGCCATGCTGAAGTGATAAGGAGTGGATGGGTTGGAAACCTGCTTGGATAAGCAGCCTCCAAGGGTTGGGGTCAATAGTCCAACGGCTGACCGGTTCCTAGCGGCATCACTGAGCAGTCAATACCCGTGCTATTTAAGGACAATTTTTTCTTCGGTGTTTAAGAGCTCTGTAGGGTTTCAGTGCCATAAGACATTGAAGCTTGTGCTATGTGACAATATGGTAGGAATACAACAGTAATACTTGCAAACCCCACCTTTCTTCAGCATCTGTTTGGCAAGAATTAGCATCAAAAAGATGGTCTCTATCCTCAACAGTTTACAATAATTCCAATACTTTTTGCAAATTCTAAGTTGTTAAATGCTTTTTTTTTTAATTGCCTAGGTTTGTGTTCTTAAACACAAATGACTTACCATTAGTGTTATTGCTCACTTGCGTGTTTAACCATCCTATGAGAGTCGAGCTAGCCAGATTTTCGCTGGGCAGCTGTTGATTATTGATGACTTTGAATTTCTCTTCCACAGACACAAAGCCCAGAAATAAAGGCTGATATTTTTTTCATCTGTCTCAGCTACATGCTGACTTTGGCTGCTGGCTTGCCTCCTCTCTTTGCAATGAGCAGCATGGAAGACTACAAGGTAAGAAGCATGCGCTGGAAGTGCTCTTACACAAGGAGTGAATGCAAGCGCAATGGCTCTGGAGAGC